CAATGTCATGGACTTTGAAGCTATTTGGAAGAAACTAAAAATCATCATATTCAGTTATGTATGATGGAAACAAAGTATTGAATACTGCATGCTTTCACTCAACTGTGGGACCTGAACATTATCACATTTGCGCAAAAGAGGGATTGGTAGTTGCATAATCAATAAACCAAAGGGGATTTGTGCTGTTATATCAAAATGAAACGTAACAGGCAATTTGAAAACAATAGAAATTTATTTTTCACAGATCAGTGTGCTGGAAAGTGCAAGATTAATAATCTTGCTAGTTTACTGTCTGTTGAGGTCGGCTCTCTACTTTCAAGGTGATAGTTCTAGCTAAAGTCATGGGTAAAGGCAGAAGGGAAAAAAAAAAGTGAATGCTTGTTCCCTCCAGAACATTTTAAAGGCACATGTATATTCGTGATGACAAAACATCATAATTTTGTGAGGTACCTTATGGTCCACCTCTTAATACCACACAATAAGAATTAAGTTTCAACATGAGTGTTTTAGAGGAGACACAAACATTCAAACAATAAGAAGGAATGTTACATTTCTTCACTGTTTAAGAAGCCTATTCTGTAAAATGCAGGGCACTAATAAAAGAATATTTAAAGCACATTAAATAAACCAATCTGGATATTATAAAGTCAACAATAAAAACGGAGAAGTCAAATTAATGAATTGGAATTTTAAAAATTGCTAATTTTCAATTCATATAGTCTATTGTATTATAATTATTTCTTTTAAATAAGATATTTCCATAAAAATAAATATACTTAAAATGGGATAATTTCAGTATATAGAAATACAATTATTTTTATTTTAAAAAAATACCAAGAATGTTTATAATAAAATAACTCTTTGCTCTTTCAATGAGACACTCCTTATATAAGCCTAAAGAAAAATTTAAATAAGGACATGAAAACATATACCATGCAAAAGAAATTCAAATAAAACTGCTAAAGTTAATGTCCTGTCATAATGTAAGAAAGAAGCATTATTACAAATGAAAAAGCATGCTTACAAAAAATATATTTATACTGAATCATTAGTAATATTATAAAAATAGTTTATTTGGAATGCTAATGCAAGTTCAACATAGAATTGAAAGAAGCATGTAAATAGGTCGTCAAAAACAGGTATTTCACACTTTTGCTGCTTATAAAACAGACATTACAGTGAGCCTATAGAAGACATAAGCTAAACAATCAACACACATATGAACACATACATATACTCTCTATGCAAATATCAAATATTTATATTTTCAAGTTCACATAAAACTGTTCCAAAAGTTCACTATGATATCATCTTGCCAAGCATTTTAATATAAATATACAGTGCTGTATTTTCAGTGCAGTACCATGGCAGCCAAGCTTTACCTGTTGAGACATGAATAGTTACTCAAATTTAATATTAATTAACTAAAAATTAGTAACTTTTATATCACTGCCTCAGGCATAAAGGTTACATTTAGACACAGATATAGAAAACTTCCAACTTCACAGAAAACCTTCTGATGATAAGTTATTTAAAATATAAGTCATTAACCAAACATTTGAAAACTCAAAAGGCTTATTATTCAGTAATATATTTATAAATAAATTAAGGGCTAAAAATGTCACAATGAATATTCAAAATTATATAAAATCCCATGAAAATAAAGTCTTTCTTGTGAAAAACAGATTTTCTTAAATGTATACACAACAAAAGACAAAAGCAGATGTTGAATTATCTGAGAATTCATCAAGGAAATTTAAAATGGGAAATTTACTGCCAGCAAATAAAGGAAAGTAGTAGAAGGGAAAAAATAAATAGTATAAAATTATGACCTTAAACACAATTACGGTGGGGATGTACAACAAGCAAATGTATTTTTATTGAAAAAATTGTAAAATTGTGATGAAAGGATATCGACGACAAAAATCAGATAAGGCACAGGTTTTTGTTTCTGGATTAAACAAGAGAAATCATTGTGGTTTTTACAGATATCAATCATTTTGATATTTAACTATATTCAGTATATATTCTAATATCCATATAGAATTTAATCTGGAAAATAAAAATTATCAAAATGCAGTACCACAGACAGAAACTTAGTACAGCCTTCATGTATTAAAGAAATTGACTTTGTTATAAAAACTTTTCTACAAAATATTATAGGAACTCCAATGTCATTACCACTGAATAAGAACTTTTATAATTGAAAAACCACGAAAAAAATGCTTCTAGGTTACAGAAAAAAGAGGACTGCCTCTCAATACAGCCTTGAGAGCAAAAATGTTAAATAAAAAGTCAAACTTTCCTGTGAACATGGATAAACAAATATTAACTTGAATATTATATATTCACTGATTTATTTTTAAAGGAGTATTACACAATAACAATTTTTTTTTTTTTTAGAAATGTAAGACTGGCTTAAAATATGGAAGAAATAAGCCGTAGCAGATGTTCATATCTGTTATTCTAGCACTTAAATAGGTTGTGGTAGGAGGATTGTTTGAATGCAGGAAGCCAAACTATCCTAGGTAACATAACTCTGCAAAAATTAAAAAAAAAAAGAAAGAAAGAAAAGAAAAGAAAGAAAAGAAAAAAAAATACTCCTTAGGGTAGCATGTAATGTAACTGTGTCACCAAGTATTCAGGAGGTTGTGGAGAGAGGATTCCTTGAATGCAGCAGTTAGAAAATGCAATAAGCCATCATTGTGCCACTACACCCCAGTCTTGGAGGTAGAGCAAGATTCCTTACACAAAAAAATAAGAGAACAGAAGAAAAAAAAAGAAAAAAAAAAAACTTTGAAGATAATTGTAATTTACATTGTGAACATTATACGGATAAAGCATATTGATAAGAATACAACAAATGCAATATCATTAGATAAAAAATAGATTAGAAAAATTAGAATTTTGCTATATTCCTTCAATATGAGAAGGTTAAGAAGAAAATTTTGAAACATAAATGAATTTTTTCACAAAACAGGGAATAATGCATATAATATACATAGAACAGATTTTCTTAAATGTATACACAACAAAAGACAAAATGCAATAAGCCATCATTGTGTCACTACACACCAGTCTTGGAGGTAGACCAAGGATCCTTACACAAAAATAAGAGAACAGAAGAAAAGAAAGACATAAACTTTATTAGAAATAAACCTCTCAACAGTGAAAATATTTCAAGAAAGAAAATCATTACACCTAGACAGAGAAAATAAAAGTGCAATGATTTACAGATAAAATAGTTGATTATTTAGAAAATACAGAACAATCTATACTTGAAATTATAGTGTTAATACATAAAATCAATGAAGAAACTGAATATACGATCAACGTGCAAAGTTCAATGGTATTTACACTTGTAGCAACACACATTTCTAAAATAAATTTTAAAATAAAGATGCCATTTACAAAAACAAGAAAGTGAAATACTTGTATTATTACTGTGTGACTTCAAAATTAAAAAATACAAAATGTGCGATGGAGAGAAATGAAAGAAACAACATAGAGATCACAGCCTGAATATTGTTGGAGAAGTCAAGAACACAAAGATCCATAATCTTTAAAAATTATGTGACAGATTAAATGCAGTCCCAAATGTAAATCCCATGAGAGCTTTTTGATGTCATTATTTATTTATTTCATGCCAGATGAGTAATATGCCAATTTCATATTAAGATTAGGGAGGCACATCTCACATATTCATGTGAAACCCAAGTATATCATTTATAAACTACAAAAGTGAGCGCTTATTTTTTATTTGAGGTGTCATGTACATGATATAAATTTCATCCACTTAAAAATTTTAATATATTCATTGAGTTACAACAAAGATCACTATCAAAAAGAAACACTGTAGCTATTGGCAGTCACTTTCTAATTCACCTTAAGCCCTTGACCATGCTATTGTATTTTCTGTCTCTTATGGATTTGCCTATTCTTGATATTTCACACAAACAGACTCACATTACATGTAACTTTTAGAAAGGTTTAATGACACAAATCTAATGTCCACGAAAAGGATTCAGGCACAACAGCAGTGATATCTGCACTTCGTGGTGTGTATATTATACCTTAGTAACTCATTTTGACATTTATTTTCACTGCTGAAACAAACAACATAATTCATTTTCAGACTTATATTATCCAAATATTATTTTCATTTAATAAAATACAAAATTACCCAATAGACTCCAAATTCAGTGGTTTGAATTCTGAAATGTATGCTTACAACTATATAGTTCTGAATCTCCACATTTGTCTGCCTCAAGTACTTGTAAGCTTATCTTTGCACAGTTGCCTTGAGGAAAATATTCTGTTATCCTGTAATGAAGAAAAAGCCACAATTCATTTTATTTTGGGGCAACAATCTGTGAAATAAGAGAAATATCCATGTATTTTAAGAAAATAATACCCTGAAAAGGGTTTAGAACATTGATCATATTATAATAGTAGGTTATTAAACAAAACTTAAGTCCCCCCCCTTACTATGAGGGAGACATTAACTCTAGTGGATTCCTGAAACCATGAATAGTCCCAATTCTCCTACAAGTAAATACTATGCTTTTTCTCTACATATATACCTGCAAATTAGGCACAAGAGATCATCAATACCCAATAATTTAACATAATAATTATAACAATACACTTACATAACTACTCTTCCATTTGAGGCCCTTATTAAGTAAACTAAGCACTTATTAAGTAACACAGCACTATGAAGACAGTGGATCTGATGATTATAAGTGATGAATACCAAGTAACATATACAGTGTGGATACACCAGACAAAACAATGATTTATGTTTCAGGTGGGAAAGACCAATACTACCAAAGATTTGATCATGCTACTCAGAGCAGTTCATATTTAAAACTCATGAATTATTTTTTCCTGAAATTTTCTACTAATATTTTTGGCTGAGGTTGATCCTGAGCAATAAAACCACAGAGAGTGAAATTGTGGATTAGGGGTGTACTGTAGTACATTGTGTAATATTTATTTCAACATTGTTCTAGCTTTCGAAATTTTTCCTCATATCTAAAAATCAACATAAGCTTATTCATATTACTCTTTGAAATTCTCCCTTTTATATATTTTTTCTCTTTATAGCACTGTTCCAAAAAACTTACTGATGTTTGAACAGTGAGCCCTTTATTGACACCCATGGATGATCACTGCTCCAACGGAAGACTCCAATCCATGCTTCATGTACGAGAGAGGTCAGAAGTTTCTCACAGAAAATAAAAAATTTTCATGTAAGTAACCATTATGATAGATGGTATTAGCTCTAAAAGTACAAATAGTGTATTTTTCATAAGATCTTTAAGTTTTTAAACAATATACTAAACTTAAAAAATTTCTGTAGTGTCTACATTTTTTGTGTAAATTCAAAGTATTCAAGCATGTTTTTGTTACATGTATATATTGCCTTGTAGTGAAGTTCAGAGTTGAAGTAAAACCATCATCTTAAAAACGTACATTGTACTCATTAAATAACTTCTCATCCATCACCCCCCTCCCACTCTCTATGTCTTCAGTGCTTTCAAGGTCTGTATTTCACTCTTTATGTTCATTTGTCACGGCTATTTATCTTCCACTTACATATGAGAACATATGGCATATGATTTTCTGTTTCTTATTTATTTCACGTATGATAATAGCCTCTAGTTCTATTCCTGTTGCTGCAAAAGTCAAGATTTTGCTTTTTTGAGTTGTGGAGTATTTCCTAGGGTATGTGTCTGTTTGTATGTGTTATTGTGTGTGTGTGTGTGTGTATATATATAAACACACATACATATGGTATATGTGCAAATATATATATATATACGCATAATACATTTTTATTCAAACATTTTTATTCAAGCATTTGCTAATGGGCACTCAGATTGCTTTCATATCTCTGATGCAGTGTATAATGCAACAAAAATGTAAAAGTGAGGGTGTTTTGTTTTTAGTAATTTGTTTTTATTTGTGTAGACACCCAGCAGTGTGATTGCTGGATTAAATGGTAGTAATGCTTCTATTTTTGAAAAATCTCCAAACTGTTTCCCATAGATATTGTACTAATTTGCATTTCCACCAACAGTGTATAATGTTAAGTTTTCTCCACATGGTTGTGATCATCTGCTATTTTTTCCCCTTAATTGATAGTCATATTAAAGGTATAAGTTGGCATGTCATTGTAGTTTTCATTTACATTTATTTGATTATTAGTGATTTTTGAGTATGTTATATGCTTGTTGGCCATTTTTACATTTGTTTTTGAATAATGTTTGAAATGAAATGCTGAAATGCTTTGAAACCTGAGGCCCAGGGCTCAAAAGAGTGACTAGATATCTTCAAATCTCCACCAACACAGAAAATGAAGTAGGTCTGCTGTTACCTAGCACTTGACTTAGCAATATTTGTAATATTAAATTACAGGCCAGTGGTTTTTGGGAGGAGTTTGCGGTGATGAGCACATATACAATAGCAGAGCTGCTGGTGCTGAAAATTTCTGTTTCATGATATTTGTATTTCATGAGTCTATTCATTTTGTGATCAACCTGCACAATTAAGATATACTTAGTTTTCTTCATATATAGTAAAATTAAATAGCAAGATGTGTTTTAGAATTACATCATGAATGGAAACATGGTTTTATGAAAAAGTAATGAAATCTGCATTAGCAGAAGGTGAATACAAATAAATTATTTTAATGCCAAGCAATATAATCTGCTTAGTTGAAAATAATACAACAAAATATGTACAAGAAAATAGATTACTTCCTCAAATGTTTTACTGGCTGAAATAAGCATTTAATAAGGTATTTGAAACATTTAAAGTCATACCATTTCTTCTTCATCATCTATATAAAGCAGACTGGAGTTCATAGAAGCACAGGCCATCATACTCTCCTCCCAAGTTTTTGTTTCCTTTCCAATGTAATAACAGCTGTTGGAATATGTAAACCATTCCTCTGGACAACTACAATTATATGCTGAGGAAACATTGTAAATTACCCAGAAAAATATGAATACTGTAAAATGACACTTAAAGAGTAAATTTACAAAAGTATGTCATGTGTGTACATAACATATCTAAGTATTCTTACAGAATGGTACATGTAATTAAAAACCCACTGACTCAAACACGTAGACACTGTAAAGCAGCAGCCTATCATCCCATAATCGTGTTCACACATGAAAAAAGTCATGAGACTAATGGTCACATTACACACATCTTGAAATCACTGAACACATATACCTTTTTTTATAACAGTACAATTATTTATGTCAATATTTTATAGCAATAGGAAATTGCAACAAATAACAAAAAAGTATGGTGTTTATGAATTAGTATTTATATTCATTGCTAACGAAAAGAAAATAAGCTGTTATATTCTTTATTTACAGACATCTATTGCTAAATTTTAAAATATTTCTCCTGAATATATCTCTGGTTATTTTTTTCATTTCAAGAGAACAATACAAAATTGAAACTCTGTTATTATCAGAATTTTGGAAATTATTACGTACCTTTCTGGTCGCTTTCATTTTGGAAGGAATTGGTCCGCTTCTGTGTTGCTGTAGCTAGAAAAATTAAAATAATCTTTTACAAAATTGTATATGAATAAGTCATAATAATGTCAGTTCTTTGAAATTTGGTATATTGTTCAGATACAGAAAAAAATAGAACTGTATGACAAAAAATATATAAAGTAATTGAGATTTTGAAAAAATATTTCAATGTTCCAAAGAACCAAATTCAATATCTCATAAAGCACTTGATTTGGCCAACTTTCAAAGATTAATTTCTATTTCTCAGCATGGTTTTTCAATTTGTAAAACATCTTATTGGAGTTTGAAATCAGAACATATACATCTAATGTAAAACAAATACTTTTTCATAATTACTCTTTCATTATAGTTTTTACAAATTCAGAACAATCATTCCACATTTAGTTCAAAAACAAATGTAAAAATGAGAATTCTATTCCTCAATATTGCAAAATATTTAGAGGCATTTCTATATATTTAGGTGAAAAGCTCTCCTTTATTTTTACAAAATATACTTACAAAGAATAATAACTATTGTTACCATGGTCACTATTAATGCCAAACAGATAATTCCCAGGATGCCAGCAATGAGCTTCTCTGGAGGTGACAATAAATCTATAGGAAAAGAAATAAAAGCACAGAGAAAAGAGAGATGGAGACAGTTATTGACGAGATTTTAAGACAAGAGAACCCACATGCATAAGAATCATTTAGATAAACTTGGACCCCAAACTGCATAATCCACAATAATGTTTTTCTTAGAATGTACCATGGCCTTTTGAGTAAATATAATGCTCCGTGATTTGCTGGACAAAAAATACAGATTTCAACAATGTCCGGTTTAAAATAGCAGCCATATTTCATTTTAAAATAGAATAACCCATCTTGGAACTCTGATATTTACAAATAAAAAAATATGTGAACACTACCTGCTCTTTTCCCATATCCTGTTACCCAAGCTGCTCATCCTGGACAATTATATTGAGGATCTATGAAATACCTTACCTTTGCTGTGGAAAGTTTTGTTATTGTCTAGAAGATCCTGAGAGGCAGTTTGAAGGCTTAATTCCGCATAGGATATTTCCTGTTCAGTTACTAAAATGAAGCTTTTATTGCCCTTAGACTTTCTCTCCTGGTTCTTCGGGTTTGGGGGCAAATTCAGTTTTGAGTAGATTACTCTGTGATTATCCATCTTTCTTACTGTGGTCTATCAGGAACTCATCTGTATAATAACAGTGCCTAAGAGGCTAATACATAGTATATAATGATAACATGCTTAGCACAGTCAAAAGGAGCAAAATGGAGAGAAAGTACCAACACTTAATTTTCATTGAGGAATCTACAGTTTTTACTCTAATTTCCTTAGACTTAAACAAGTTTCATACAGAAAAACATATTCTTTAAAGGTTTATGCTTTTTACAAAATATTATTGCTGAGGCAAAGAAAAGCAATAAATTAGTAAACTAAAAAAGAAATTCATGTATCAAAATACATACATTAAAGTGTGATTCACAAATATATTTAATGTCAATACAAGACAATACCTGTATTAAAACTTTTAATATAGTTTATAGTAATTTTGAAATCCAAAGTTTGTTAAGACTTGTCTGTACATGGAAGACATGAATGTTGATATATATATTATAGTTTTGCTAATGAACCTTTATTTGATAGTTTGCAGTCATTTATTGAAATGAATTAATGGTTACAAAATGTTTTTTTTTTAAAGACTGATGAGTTCTGATAAATATTGAAGAATGTAACAATTTTTATATTTTGGAGAATATTACATGACATAAATGTGTATAACAGTATTGGAGAGATTAAAACTTTTAAAAAATACTTATTTCATAGACATATTGGCTATTATTTCCTGGCTAAAATGTAAAATCATAAAACAATAAATAAAAATATAGATCTTTTATGTAAAACTCTCTTGGTTTAACATTACAAAAAGATTCCATGACTGTCTCAAAATGAGTCAAGTTCATTTTAGTTGTGTATTTGCAATAATTCAGATAGTTTAATCCAATAATTTAGTCAATGGTATCTGGAGTTAGAGAAGTCTAGAATTAATTCTGACTTTGAAGTTTATAATGTGTGCCCTTTAAAAAGTTATTCAGTATCTTATAACCCAGGTTATCAATGAAAAGTGAGCGCAAGAGCATATAAATATAATACATGTAAAACATTTGCTAAATTGGCACATAATGTTTTCAATAAATATCAGCTAGTTTAATGATTATTTTCATCACAATTGCTATGTTATTTTTTTTCTGATTCATGTCACTTAAAACATGAAAAATAAATCATTAGAGAAATCTCTTACAAAAATGTGATACATCCCTTTGCAATATTAAGACCAACTTTTAAAAACTATTTTTCAAAATACTTTTAATGACATTTAGTATTTTATGTAATCTACTTCATTCTCTTTTTCATTAAAATATAAAAATTGACTTTATTAAATCTACTTTAGGGTATGATAATAGTGTATTTAACATTAATTAATTTATTTAGTTTAACAATCTCTGTACAATGGCTAACCTAAATAAAAAATGTTATATTATTAAAAGATACACAATGTTCTGATTACAAAAATCCAAAATTAATTGATAGTTATGATATTTACAGGTCACGCAAATAATATTGACTAACAAGCTCAAGTATGTGTGAATGCAATTAACTACTTTCCACAGACAATAATTTGAAAACTTTAAGAAATTCTCCAACCTATTTCACATTCCAGGATTCTATCCTGACTTATTCAAATAAAGATATCAAATTTACACTGATTTTATTGTGTGAATTGAACCTCCATTGCATCAAATCTAATATTTGCAATCACCCACTAAATGAGGTAGGCTAGTAGAGAGATGGAAAGTTGCTGCACGTACCTTCTGTCCCAGAACGTCACAAATCCTTTAGTGGAAAGGCTGTAATAAAAGGTGAAATTTAAAGACATATATCCAGAACAAGTAGAAACAATGTCTGTGATCTTCACAGACTGCCATGTGAAGGCTCAGAGTGAGGTAAGAGTGAAAAAAGTTGATTTCTCTTCAATCTGTCACTGAAGGTATGAACAGGAAATTCTCATGCATGGGCTATTTTGAAATAAGGTTTTCTTATTACACACCTCCAAACTACAGGAGATTTGAGCGCTTATTAAATGGACTAAATAGACTTTGAAAATGTGTCATTACCTTGTTCATTTTCATGTGCCTCTGAGAAACTGTTTATATATTCTACAAGCCATGGAGTGTAGAGTTACTACATATATAAACTTCTTTCAATTTCAATCACAAATATTGCCAACTTAAGACTTGTTAAGAGTGTCTCAGTTGTTCAAAAACCAATTTTAGAAGGGAATGCTAAATTTTAAACATTGGGAACGTCTTTCATTCATATCCTTATTATATCACTCTATTGTGATAGAATAAATTATAAAACATGATAACATTATCAACAAGTATTTACTGATATTAGTTACTAATTATTATGAGAAATTGCTACTGTTCCAACTTACTGTAGCTGTAGCTGGCACAGAGACCATCACTGACAAAGATGTATTCTTGTCTTCTCTGAGTTAGTTCTTAAATTTTTGCATTTGATTTTATTTTTTAAACAAATTATTTAATCTTTAGATTCACCTTGTTAAAAATAAGTGTATCTGGGAAGGATTAAACATTAATGAATTGTAAAATAGATTAGCACGCCCAATTATAACACACAACAAAATATATTTTCAAACTCATGCAATCATATAATTTCCATTTAATGCAATATAAAAATTACTCCAAACTCAGGTACTTTAATAGTGAAGTGTATGCTTACAACTATATTTTTGTGAAGATCCACAGCTACGTGTGGCTCAAGTGCATCTGAGTATAGTATTACACAGTTATGCTGACCAGGATCTGATTCTCCTACCTAGCAATGAATAAAAATTGATAATTCTGTTATATTTTGGAGGATTATTGCATGAAACAAGGCATTTTTCCAAACATTGTAAGAATGAATATTATGAAACCAGATAATGGCATTTTTAAAATATAATATTATCAAGAATTGATTATCATGAAAACTGGTTACAGTAGTTTTCTCTTATCCTGGTGGGAGACACTGACCCTAGTAGAAGGCTGAAACGCCAGATAGTACAAACCCCTGTATAAACTACGTTTTCCCTATACGTACAAACGTACACTAAAGTTTAACTTATTATAAATTATGCTTACAATTGAGATAAATAATACCCATAATATAAAATAATAACTATAACAATATGTCTATATCACTACTCCTGCATTTGGGGCCATTAATGAGTAGACTAAACATGCCTTGAACACAAGCACCACCTGGGCAAGACATTCCATTTGATAACTGAGAAAGCTACTAAGTAACTAATAGACAGTAGCATCAACAGTGTGAATACACTGGCAAAGCAATGATTCATGTCCCAGGTGGGACAGACGCTTACTCCAAGAAGTTGCTCATACAACTCAGAACGTTACACCCTTTAAACATCATTAATTGTTTCTAAAATTTTTTTTTTTGTATATTTGTGGGATGTGGTTGATCCTGAGTAACTAAAGTCACAGAAAATAAAATTACAGATAAGAAGGACCTACTGTAGCCCATTCTTTAATATTTATATCAAATTTTACTAATTTTAAATCTTTTATGTCTGTAATTCATCTTACACTTATTCTATTATTCTTTGAATTTATCCTTTTATGTTTTTTCTTCTATATACACCGTTAAAAAAGTCTTACTTATGTTTCAAAATTGAGTCATTTCTTGACAGCTAGGGATGATCACTGCTGTTATGAAAGACTGCAATGCATCCTGACAGTTACAGGGAGTCCAGAAGTGTCTAACAGAATAAACAGCATTCATGTAAATAATAATTTAGGTCTCAAGCAGCTGCTGCCTGTGGGGGACCTCGGCACCCTCCCCATAGAGCACCGGGCCCCTCCCTGGCAGAAGTGCCCCATTCCTTGTCGTTGCAGCCCACAGAGACCCTTGGCTCCCACCCCTGGGAGCTCCAGGCCCCCTCCCTGGCTGATGCGCCCAGACTTGCCTCTAGCTGCCACTGCCCATGAAATCCCTTGGCTCTGCCTCTTGGAGATCCGGGCTCCCTCCCTGGCTAACGCACCCTAACCGGCCCCAAGCCACCACTACCCACAGAGGCCATCAATTCCTGTCCATCGGAGCTCTGGGTCCCCTCCCTGACCAAAGCACCCTTCTCAGCCCCAAGTCACTGCCACCCAAGGAGCTCCAGCCTCCCTCCCTGGCTGCAGAACTCAGCCCCGCCCCAAGCCTTCAACCACCCAAGGAGGCCTGCAGTCCCCTCACCCTGGAGCACTGTGCCCCCTTGTTGGCAGTACCGCCCCACCCCCAGCCACCCTGCACACTATGCTGACCAGCAATGCCCAGTAGTCTCAAACTCCGCCTCCCTCAGTGCCCCTGCCCACAGCAGGACAAGAGAACAGCTGTAGCTCCGAGCCAACCAGAGACCTGCATTGCCCCTTGATCTCCACCCAGCTCTGTGCAGCCTCCATCTTGGGACCTAAGAACAAAGAAAGAGAAAGAGGTCCTAGCTGCATGTGACACGCCAACCCACAGCACCCAGCTATATCACACTCTGCCTGTCCCAGCTGGACCTAGCTGTAGTAGAACCAGAGATCATCAAGAGCCCTGTGACCAGGCAGAGGCCTGCAATGCCACACCCAATCAGCTTTGCCCAGTCTCCAACATGGGATCTAAGACCTCATGTTTGTGTAAGGGAATAGTACATCATAAGGAGTTTTGTCAGCTTGTGTGTCTGTATGATTGTATGTCCTAGTTTGTTTGTTGTTGTCACTACTGTTTTTTTGTTTGGTTGCTTATTTGTGTTTCTTTTTGTTTTCTCTTACTCTTATCTGTCTTCAGGACTATTTTCAATTATGTCTGGATACCATTGTCTCTTTTCCTCTTACTCTTCTCTGTCTCCACCTTCCACTCCCACCTCCTCCAGCTCCATTTCTTTCCCTTTTCTTACATCATTTTACTTTCAGGGAACATATCAATACTCCTACTTCATGAACAGATTGCAAGACAATGGGAAGCGGGTTCCAGTGTATCCATATACCTGACAGTGGATACTGTGACCTGCAGATAAATTTTGAATCACAGCTCCCCCATCAAATAAA